AGTGGGATAGATAACATCACCATCAGATGGATTTGTAACTGGCTGACAAACCATACTCAACAGGTAATCCTTTAATGGTACTACATCTACATGGAGGGAAGTAAGCAGTGGGGTACCACAAGGCCCTATCTTAGGCCCAGTACTCTTCAATATCTTCAAAAATCATTTAGAAGAGGGAATAGAAGGGGAACTTACCAAATTTGTAGATGATACTAAGTTGGCAGGAATAGCGAACACCCTAAATCAAGGGTCTTCAAACTTGGCAAGTTTAAGACTTGTGGACTTCAACTCCCAGAATTCCTGAGTGAACATGACTAGAGGAGGAATTCTGGAAGTTGAAGTCCACAAGTCTTAAAGCTGTTACGTTTGAAGACCCCTGCCCTAAATGATAGGCTCAAGATCCAGATGGATCCTTTTAAAAAAAATTTATTCATATATTGTATTCACATTTTGAATACAGTGTATTGTCAGGGAATATAATTTACAAAAGAATAAGGAAAAAATAGTAACATATATACTAATAACAATACAGGTGAAACTCGAAAAATTAGAATATCATGCAAAAGTTCATTTATTTCAGTAATGCAACTTAAAAGGTGAAACTATTATATGAGATAGACTCATTACATGCAAAACAAGATAGTTCAAGCTGTGATTTGTCATAATTGTGATGATTATGGCTTACAGCTCATGAAAACCCCAAATCCACAATCTCAGAAAATTAGAATATTGTGAACAGGCTCAATATTCTAGGCTCAAAGTGTCCCACTCTAATCAGCTAATTAAGCCGTAACACCTACAAAGGGTTCCTGAGCCTTTAAATGGTCTCTCAGTCTGGTTCAGTAGAAATCACAATCATGGGAAAGACTGCTGACCTGACAGTTGTGCAGAAAACCATCATTGACACTCTCCATAAGGAGGGAAAGCCTCAACAGGTAATTGCAAAAGAACTTGGATGTTCCCAAAGTGCTGTATCAAAGCACATTAATAGAAAGTTATGTGGAAAGGAAAAGTGTGGAAGAAAAAGATGCACAAGCATGACTTGTGCACAAGCACAAGGATGACTGCAGCCTGGAAAGGATTGTCAGGAAAAGGCCATTCAAAAGTGTTGGGGACTTTCACAAGGAGTGGACTGAGGTGCATCAAGAGCCACCACACACAGACGGATCCTGGACATGGGTTTCAAATGTCGTATTCCTTTTGTCAAGCTGCTCCTGAACAACAAACAATGTCAGAAGCATCTTACCTGGGCTAAAGAAAAACAGAACTGGTCTGTTGCTCAGTGGTCCAAAGTCCTCTTTTCTGATGAGAGCAACTTTTGCATCTCATTTGGAAACCAAGGACCCAGAGTCTGGAGGAAGAATGGAGAGGCACACACTGCAAGATGCTTGAAGTCCAGTGTGAAGTTTCCACAGTCTGTATTAATTTGGGGAGCCATGTCATCTGCTGGTGTTGGTCCACTGTGCTTCATTAAGTCCAGGGTCAATGCAGCTGTCTACCAGGAGTTTTTGGAGCACTTCATGCTTCCTTCTGCAGACAAGCTTTATGGGGATGCTGACTTCATTTTCCAGCAGAACTTGGCACCCTGCCCACACTGCCAAAAGCACCAAAACCTGGTTCAATGACCGTGGGATTACTGTGCTTGATTGGCCAGCAAGCTCGCCTGACCTGAACCCCATAGAGAATCTATGGGGCATTGCCAAGAGAAAGATGAGAGACATGAGACCAAACAATGCAGAAGAGCTGAAGGTCGCTATTGAAGCATCCTGGTCTTCCATACCACCTCAGCAGTGCCACAGGCTAATAGTTTCCATGCCATGCCGCAATGAGGTAGTAATTGCTGCAGAAGGGGCCCAAATCAAGTACTGAGTACATATGCATGCTTATACTTTTCAGAGGACCAATATTGTTCTATGTACAATCCTTGTTTTATTGATTGCATATAATATTCTAATTTTCTGAGATTGTGGATTTGGGGTTTTCATGGGCTGTAAGCCATAATCATAATTATGACAAATCACGGCTTGAACTATCTTGCTTTGCATGTAATGAGTCTATCTTATATATTAGTTTCACCTTTTAAGTTGCATTATTGAAATAAATGAACTTTTGCACAATATTCTAATTTTTTGAGTTTTACCTGTAGTAATAGTACATCAGAATAATTTTAACCAAACTTATCTTTATGTTACCTTATTTCATCCTGTTGATTATGTTGGCATACTTATAGTTATAAACCATCTATGTTTAGTTCATATATAGCAATAATCTTTCTTCATCAAATTTCAACCTCTTATCTCTAACCACTCATAAAATCTATTCCATGTTGAGTAATATTCTGTGTCTCCTTTGTCTTTTATTTTTAATGTCAATCTATCCATCTCTGCACTCTTAATATTCCCAATTAAAAAGAAAAGTTCCCCTCTTTTTCCAAACAGTCAATCACATGGTCCAATCAAGGTCCTGTCCTTGATTCGTCAGGCAAACATCGCTCGTCCTCTCCCTGGCTACCTGTAGGAATGTCCTTGGTTCCCAGAAGAAAGTATTATGTTTTGACTATAAGCCCCCTCTATCTCTATTCCCCCCTCCCTATCCCTCAGGTCCACTGTGGCAACACTGAAGCCTCAATATGGCCTCGGTCAGGTCAGCTTAGCTTCAGGGTTGACAGAGAAATTTGTTGACAGGGAGATCAATCAACCAATGGAACAGCTTGCCTTCAGAAGTTGTGGGAGTTTCATCACTGGAAGCTTTCAAGAAGGACCTGGACTGCCATCTGTCAGAAATGGTGTACGGTCTCCTATTTGGGCAGAGTTGGACTAGATGACCTACAAGGTTCCTTCCAACTCTGTTACTGTAATCTGTTAATCTGTTTATGCCCTTTGCAGTCAAAAGTGAATCATACATAATATATATACATGGGCAGCTTTTATTAATGTGTATGTAACAAATATTTTCCCAGCAGCATGATCCGATAGGACACAACATAGCTATGCAAGAGCTATACCTCTAGACCAGGGGTGGGCAAACTTTTTGGCTCGGGGGCCGCATTGACTTTTAAAATTTGACAGACGGGCCGGGTCAGCACAAGATTTTTT